CAGGTTACATTTATATTAAATATTATAACACTCCCGTTGGGCCATTATCTGCATTTTATTTGCTTAATAGTAAGCTACATTTGCATTAATGGCATTTTCAATGCAGAACTTACACATTTTTTTTTACATTTCAGTATTGCTACTTTCACTTTAGTCAAGACAGGTTAGCGATATTAGCCCTTGATGTTATCTTACTCCAAGATTTAATCATATTAGCTATCCTCTACATTAACCATAAAATGTTATCTCATTTGTGTTCATGTTTTTCTATCTGCCCCACAAACTCACATAAGCAAAGAATTTGCTAATTATTGAACCTTGGAATCTTTCCCCAGCCTTTATTAATACTATATAGCCACATCAATAGATATATGTACCTGTTGGTTAGACTCAAGTTTTAGATGATCGACTGTGGTCCAGGCACTGCAACCAACTAAAAAAGCTTCAATGAAAACTGGAGTCTGCAGCTGCTATCTATGCAACTGGCCTCTCAGTGGACCCACTGCGCTCTGATTACACTCTCCCAAGGAGCCTCACCTTCATTATGAACACACACACAAACACACACATATACAACACACACACACACACACACACACACACACCCACATACATCATACAATACACACACAACATACATGGATGCCACAGGCCCTCCAGTTCAGGGTGCGAAACATCTGTTTACCCGAGTTAATGACCTTTGTGTTAATGAATTTTCTGTGCGGATGTAGATGACAAAGCTCAGCTACGTCTTCTCATGTAGGCCCACATGGGAGTTAGACACACAGAGTGATGGAGGCGAGGGGTGGGATGGAGGGGAAAACAGTAAAAACTAGTAAAAGGAAGAGTGCGTATGCATGGCTTGTCACAGGGTGGTCAATAACAACGACTGAGGTCTTAGACCCCTGCAAGATATTCTGTTGAGACGCTGGTTTTCTTTCTCTGTGTGTGTGTGTGGTGTGTGTGTGTGTGTGTGTGTTGTGTGTGTTGTGTATTTGTTGTGCCTATGTGTCAGAGAGTGTATATCAGCACTGCAGGGGATATCTCCTTCTCACAGGATTGTGTATTTTGTGTGCATGTGAATGTGCAGTGATGCAGACAGGACAGTTGTCATCTCAGCAGGGTGTTCTTCCCCCCCCCAAGACACCCTGCTGATGACAACTGTCTGTCTGCATCACTGCACATTCACATGCACACAAATACACAATCCTGTGAGAAGGAGATATCCCCTGCAGTGCTGATATACACTCTCTGACACATATGCACAACAAATACACACACACACACACACACACACACACACACACACACACACACAGAGAAAGAAAACCAGCGTCTCAACAGAATATCCTTGCAGGGGTCCTAAGACCTCAGTCGTTGTTATTGACACCCCTGTGACAAGCCATGCATACGCACTCTTCCCTTTTACTAGTTTTTACTGTTTTCCCTCCATCCCACCCCTCGCCTCCATCACTCTGTGTGTCTAACTCCCATGTGGGCCTACATGAGAAGACGTAGCTGAGCTTTGCATCATTACCATCCGGCACAGAAAATTATTAACACAAAGGTCATTAACTCGTGTAAACAGGATGTTATGCCCACACTACTGAGGCCTGTGCATCATGTATGTTGTGTGTGTATGTATGTGTATGTGGGTGTGTGTGTGTGTGTGTGTGTGTGTGTGTGTATATGTGTGTGTTTGTGTGTGTGGTCATAATGAAGGTGAGGCTCCCTGGAGAGTGTAATCAGAGCGCAGTGGGTCCAGCTGAGAGGCCAGTTGCATAGAAGCAGCTGCACTCCAGTTTTCATTGAAGCTTTTTTAGTTGGTGCAGTGCTGGACCACAGTCGATCATCTAAAACTTGAGTCTAACCCAACAGGTACATATATCTATTGATGTGCTCATATAGTATTAATAAGGCTGGGGCAAGATTCCAAGGTTCAATAATTAGCAAATCTTTGCTTATGTAGAGTTTGTGGGGCAGATAAGAAAACATGAAACTACAAATGAGATAACATTTTATGGTTAATGTAGAGGATAGCTAATATGATTAAATCTTGGAGTAGATACACAAGGGCTAATATCGCTAACCTGTCCTTGACTAAAGTGAAAGTAGCAATACTGAAATGTAAAAAAAAATGTGTAAGTTCTGCATTGAAAATGCCATTTATGCAAATGTAGCTTACTATTAGCAAATAATGCAGATAAATGGCCAACGGGAGTGTTATAATATTTTATATGATGTAACTGTATTATTATTGCTTGTGGATTATAGGTAGAATTTTACTGCTACATTTGGTCAAGGTGGAGCTAATTTTGTTATTTTTTACACCATTTTATAACAGGTAGTTAAATCTACAATAGGGCATCATATGCTCATCATTTTGTTTTGTATGTAGAATATTTATATTTATATTCAAATAAATCTAGGTGAGTAAAATAAACTATTCAAAAGTGAAAAATTCAAGTAAAGTACAAATTAGAACTTACAGTACCTGTGTATGCAAATGTAATCAGCTACTTTCCACCACTGCAAAATGGCATAAGGGGTAAGATGTTGGACTTTTAGCTCATTTGTTCATTTGACATTCATGCACACCTTTATTTGAGAAACTGAGGCAGGAGGGAGGAAGAAGCAGAAGAAGAGCAGTGGTGGAGAAGGTCAAAAGAAGCATGTTCCACACAGTTTAGGTGTACTGAACTCCTTCCTCCTAAGCTCATACACATACACTCTTGAACACAAACACACACAAATGCAAACACGCACTCTCCCTCCTCCACCAGGTACACTTTCTGCTGAGCATGAGCGACAACGTTCTCAGAGGAGTTCCCAAAGCTGCGGAGCACAGCAGGTGATGATTAAGCTGCTTTTTGCTGCTGATGCTTCTTCCTCTTCTTTCACTTGAATTTTTGGTGTTGTGCCTAGTTCGTATTGAATGGGGGCAGTGGCGGAGCCAGGTGGTGGCCTGGGGTAGCCGTGGCCACCCCACTTGCCACTGCACATAGCACCATAGTTCAGCTCACTCATTTTTTTCCTGTGCAAAAGCATTTCTCCACAGCTCTGGATCAGCTTTGGAAATAATAACATGAATGTTTTTGAGGAAAGGGAGTAAAAATCATCTTTAAAATAGGAGAAAGCAATTCGGAGCGTCTTATAAGGCATGGGAGTGGATACTCATTCTCATAGCTGGAACAAAATAAAACTTAAACTTAATAAAACGTCATCAAACAAACAATATGCGGGGCGACCTGAGAGCTGAATGGTCAGGGTGCATACCACATGGGTTCAAATGCCCTGAGCAGCGAGTCCCCAGCACTGGCCAGCCGGACCATTTGCTGGACGACCTCCTACTCTCTCTGCCTGCATTTCCTGTCTATCTCTGCTGGCAAGTAGTTTAATGTTACCGGACACACAAATGTGACAACAGTACCTGCCTGTTAACTAACCAGTCGGGATTATCATTAATATCACAAACATTAGCAAAAACATTTCCGGCCTATCGGCTCTGAAACACAGCAAATTAATGTTACCCACCTGTCAAGCAGAAGCAGAGCAACCTACACATCTGTCTTCATGCATTTGAACTCTCATAGGTCTCTCACCATATTGGACTGACCATCGGGACTACCCGGACAAATCCCGGTGGGCCAGTGAACTGTCAAAATATCATAAAGATTTTTTGCCAACCCTGCTCTTTGTGTGCCTGTTATTTGGGTGTGGGACAATCCCAGCAGATAAGATCTCAGTCCACCCCAGACAAAACTCCACGAGGTCTGGCAGAAGAGTAGACTGCTTCTGCTCCTTCCCCTGTTAATCCCTAAACTAGCACTGTCTTTTAGCATGTGCCAGATTTACTGTCTCTCTCTCCCACTGCCACCTTTCCCCCCCATCTCCCCTTTCTTCCTCTTATTTCCCTTGTCCTGGGCACGAGCTAAAATGTCCCCAGTGGCTGAGCCAGGGCTGTGTAGGAACATGATTAGTTTTTTCAGAAACTGCACAGAACGGACAGCTGGCTAGACAAAAAGTGTATTGGATTAGACTCGCTTACGCCATCTTTAAGATGAGACAGCTAAGTCTGATTGTGCTCACATTTATGGCTGGTTTGTTGTTGTACAACGTTTGATAGGCTATGTGACTAATGCCTGATAAATACCAGGTTGTGTACCATGCTATGATGATCTCACTGTGGTGCTTGGCAGCTTGATCAATCATAACTCAGAGAACAAGATTTAAATTTCTGTGCTCCCTCAAAGTGAGTAGTGGACGAAAAGTGTCTAGTGGCTACACCACTGAATGGGAGAACAGACACTAAGATGTTTTAGGCTACGTGAGCAAGTCTGTGTGTAAAATGCACATCAGCACCATCCACTCTACTAAATCTCTGCTGAAAGCACCTGTCAAAAGTAGTGACTGAGCTACACACACAAATATACACACAGCACTACCCACAAAGTCAATGGACTGTGGTTTTCACTCTGAGAATCGCTGCCATCTAATGTTCATTTGTGGGTGGTGTTTAAGTTGAATATTATGGTACATCTTTATCTACACAGGAAGCTTGATCAGAGAAGCTTGTTGTTGTTGTCGTGGGAAAACAATCTACAAAACTGCTCTGCAAAGACAAAAAGCCATTTTCTGCTCTGACAATGCATCTTTCAATTGATTTTACACACACACACACACACACACACACACACACACACACACACACACACACACACACACACACACACACACACACACACACACACACATATACACACAGAGAGAGGGAGAGAGACAGACACTGTAATGACAGTTAATATCATATAAACATTTATTCTCTATACAGTTGAAAGCAATAAATGGGAAATCAATATTATCAATTACTGATAGAAAAATACATTTGCTGCACCATGGTCACTCCACACTCGTACATACAGTAAGTAGCAAAAGAACACCACGTGTGTGTTGTGAACTTTGTATAAAACAAAAGTCAATGTGAGCGTGCAAACATGACATCGATTAGGTATGAAAGACAAAGTGTCACTCATACAAAAAGACATATGTGGTATAATCTTGAATACACCATTGGCATATTTTTTATAATATTCTCTACAAAAAATATCAGTGGTATTCTCTTTTTTTAAATTAATGATTGTGTGCAAATTTTAGAACTAAAATAACATCTGGCTTTTGTGTTTAAAGAAATCACGTAGACCTATGAGGAGTAGGAAACAGATCAGTCTTTGGAGTGAATCTTCTTTTCTCATATTTGGCTTCATGTGTAAAAATCAAGTAAGATGACCCGCGGGTAAATGTTGTGTCGGCACATTATACAGCAAGTGTTGCTTTAAAAAACACTTTTCAGACAGTAAATGTCCCATCAGCCGGCTGTTCACGTCACAGAGTCCAGAGAGGCAGCAGTGGGGATCTTCAATGAAGCAATGTGACACACAATCTGTTGGAGTTTAACACAGTGTAAAAGTGTGCAGCAGATGCAGATGTCCCTCCTGTGTTAGTAAATGTAGGGGTCACAGGCAGCTTTTGACAGTGTGACTGAGCTTGGCTTTATCAACATTTGCTTGCAGTTGTTTTTCAGACTTGTTTGATTGGCAGCTGCTCTGGCCTTTCACCTGGCATTCATGAGGTGAATCCAGTAGGTGGGACTCTGAAACAGGAAGTTCTTCCAACAAGGATGGGGCCAATCCTCACATGCTTTTACATGCAGATTAACTCTCAGCGCAGAGCCAGGAATCTTATGCGGTATTTAGTTTGACATCTTCAGTTAATCATTTTGAGGTTTAGTGGCTAGTTGCAGGTCACTACATGCTCATAGGTAATGACCACGTGAGCTGAGCTTTTCTGATTGGTTGACCTGAGCCTCACGTGGAGAGTGTATTCCAGCAGTGTGACGGTGTCTCCGCTGAGGTGGAAGTTAGGACAGTCCCTCAGAGGGTTGCTATAGATAGCTATAGATAGCTGTGCATTGAAGGGCAGACACACACACACACACACACACACACACACACACACACACAAGGGAGAACAGAGGCAAAAATAGATTGTCACTGTACTATATATTCTAAATCTTTGCATCAGTAAATCTTTTTTTTTTTTTTTTAATCAAAGGTTGCTGGAAAACAAAAAACAGAAGAAGCTAAATTCTGGTATAGAAAATAATATTTAAGCCTTTAAAAATATCAAATACATAAGATTTTATAGGATTTTACATTTAAATTTCTCTGACATCACAAAGCAAACACAGTTTCACAGATAAAACAAAGCATACACGATGAAACAGAAACATTCCATCAGACAACAAAACAGTATTACAAACCCATAGCTGCAGTGCAATCAATCAGTCAGTCAATAATACTAATAATACTTAATGCAGCTGCAGACAAACATACTGTTCTGATACAAAAACACAAACACGCCGACCCAAAGATGCACAGAACTTACCATTCACACCTCGGCCTGGTGAGGAAGGTTTTCACTGAGAAGTTGTCAAAACTGTACAGAGACACTGACAAAAAGAGCAAATATAAAATGTGTCTACACTTGACACAGTAAAACTGGGGAATACAGAGGTTTCCAATATGACTGGCCTTACTTGTTGATCTAAACCACAGTGTGAGATGTTGTAGTCAGTCAGTGCTGGTCTGCCCTGACTGAGGTCCTGTACATTATGTGGACGCTGTTTGAACTCAGACCATTAGATCCCAACGTTTGGACACTGATATGGACTGGGACACTTAGGTCGACATTCTCTACAATACACTGTAGAAAAGGAAACAAAATATGCAGCACATGAGTTGCTCTGGTTTGTTTTTGTGGTAGTAACAGAATGCAGTGATGAACAGTTTGAGAGGAGAGACTGATACCTTGGTGCACGCTGAGCTCATGACAGATTTGTGGAAGTCCCCATCTATGAACACCTGAGAGGTCATTAAAATGAAAAAATAAAACCTTTTAGACAAACAAATCTTTCAGAATCAAGGTCCATGTGTCAGTGTACCTGCCAGTTTATTCTGCCTACCCTGTATCCGTACACAAACGTGCCGTTACTGCAGCCCAGCTCGTCGAGCGGTGGCCTCTCCCAGCCAATCATGAGGCTGCTCTGGCCCACTGTTTTGATGACCTCAACAGAGCGCACCTCTGCTGGAGCTTCTGTGGGGGGGGGTAAAGAAGAACGAAAGGTGAAGCACAATAAGGAGATGTGTTGCACAGTGTGCAAACTTTCAGTGAGAGTAGTTTTTTGTCATATCAATAAAGGCATTCCGACTGTTTACAAAAACAAGAATTTCTTCCACCAGGACTTTAAGCAATAGTGTGTTTTACTTTGGTGTCTTGTGTAATATGTGTGTTACCTGGTCCAGGTCTTGTTGTCTTTGTCTTATCTTGGGCAGCAGTGGTCCTTCTGGCAGACTTGTTGGATCTCTCAGGAGAGCGATGAGCTGATTGAGTCCCAGATGCAGTGAATACAAGTCCATCATATGGAGGGGCAGCACCATTAGAAATATTAAAGTTGGGGGCAGTTGATTTGCCAGGGGCAGTCATGTCTGAGGCAGAGGTCTTTGAATTAGTGTCAGAACATATTAAGACATTAGAGTCATAGGTAGTGGTCCTCAGAGTTAAAGGAGTTGAAGCTGTATGTCTTGCATCAGATACGCTGGCGATAGCGGTGACTTGCTTTGTCACTTTTGGGGATATTGTCATTTTAGTGCCACTGTTTGAGGTGGATTTGGCTTCATTAGGTGCCATAGCAGCAAAAGGGCAGTTGGATGAGCTAGAAAGAGCAGACGCTGTAGTTTTAGATACGTCCGCTTTTAAATGTTGGTAAGTAAAGATGTTGGAGTTAAATGTAACATTAGCAGATCTGGAAGCAACTGCATTAAAAAGTGTTGTTGACTTATTCGTGGCAGCAGGTTTAGGTGTTACTACAGGAGAGTGGTGAGGTTGGCTTGAAGCAGTGGTGACTGGGAGAGAGTTGGAATGTGGTTTATTGAAACTGAGGCTCTGCTTGTTTGTCTGAGAGGCCAGGTTCAGATCTGCAGGAGCTGAAAATGAGAGACTTGTCCTGGGCTCATGTCCTCTTCCTCTGCTCACTGGAGCCTTCTGATGAAGGAGAAAAACGTTTATTAAACATATACTGTAATAACACAACATTTTCCTACAGTTTGTGCTTTTGCATCGACACATTTTCAAATCTGGCAAGATTTCTGAGTGTAATTAGTTATTTAAAGAAAAAATAAGGAATGAATGAATTGAACTTCAGTGTACCTGATAGCTGCTCATCAGAGTCTTCTGCAGTTGCTCATGCAGGTTGATGATCTTCTCAGGACTACTCAGCCTCCTGCTCGGACCGACGTGTTTGCTGGAGGATGGAGGAATAGGACTCAGTGAGGATCCAGCTGAACTCATCAGATCTGGGGAAGACTTTCCTTTCACATCTGGATGATGAAATCCACATTTCTCTGGACCAGTGATTGCTTGGATTGGTCGACTGGCCAAGGGAGACAGCTGTGGTGGGATTGAGAAAAATGACATAGTGTGTTTCCAATTTAACATTTGTAATACAGACTATTAAAGGTGTCTCCATTTGACATTTTAAACACTGATACACTAATGTCAAATTAACTGCAATACTTTGGTATCTATCTGCTATGTCTTATTACTTAATGCTTGTATTTAAATTAGTACTGCATTTCCCATAAACCCAGTTGCAAACAGGACCCTTTGCTACATTGGTTAAAGGTTTTTGTTGTAGTGAAAATAATAAAGATGACTTGACTCTTGACTTGTTCTCAAATCTGTCATTGTGAAGTATTTTTAATGAATCCTCGGCTTAGTAGCACAAAATACATAAATACTTTAGAGGCCGGAAGCTGCTGTCTATCTTGTTTATTTATGGGAATTATTTCACAAGATAAATGCAGTAATTTATCAGTTTATTGCTGCTAAAAAGTCTACGACCTTTAAGCCTAAGCAATTTTAAAAAAGCTTTTAAAAAAAACACATATTTGAATACAAAAATACCCACATTTCCCCCACCAATCAATTAAGTGTTATCTTATCTTATCTTAAATTTGTTTGCATGATCTCACCTGTGCTTTGTTGGTGATCAAGTTATCTTTCAGAGCTGGAAGAACAGGTGTCGCTGCGACACTGGCATTCTCTTGCACTGGTACGGTTGGCACAGGTGAGTTGGCATTTTTCTTGAGCGATCCTGTTGGTGCAGCTGAGACTTCACTCCTACAGTCTTGAAGATTTGACTCAGTCGTGGCTATAGAAATGTGTTTCTCACTTTTAAAGTCTCTGCATTTTACTCCAGATTCAGGTGTGAATCCATTTTGGCGTTGCTCCTGTGCAGGTGTGGATGCAGCAGCGCAGGTCTGATCAGCTTTAAATCCACTGGAGTAGTCTTGAAACTTTGAAATAAATCTCGGTGTAAACCCGGCGCTGTAATCCCCAGTCTTTACGACGCTTCCTGGTGTGAATGCTGCTGTGTATTCCTGCAGAGCAGTGTCACTGAGCAGCTGCTCGACCTGCTGTGTGAGCGTGGAGTCTACGCACCCTTGTCTGTGAATGGCTTTCAACATCTGAACTAAGAGGTTGTTCCTCTCCTGACACTTCACTACCAGGCACGACAGCTTGGCCTGTTATTGGACGAAACACTTGTCAGTCAAAATCAGCTGCTAAGAGCACTGACACATGACAATAGTAACCTGACAGTCATGGAGAATAAATAAGATGTCAGTACTATTAAGTGTCACACTGCACAGCATATAATACATCTCTCTGTCATCACCTTTAAAGGAGCTACATCCAGATCTGTCTGGCTCTTCTTTTTCAGGAGTGCATCATACTACAAACAAAATAACATGAAACATGAAAATTATTATACAGATATCAATAAAAACATATCAGCTCATAACATGTGACTGACTGCTTTGGCTATAACCATATGATGGAGTACAAAATAGCAAAATAGCTGATTGGTTACCACCTTCGCTCTGATGTCGTTGTAACGTGTCCGGAGTGACATGAGAGCAGTGCTCAGATCATCCTTGCTGCCCTGTCCTCGTTTTAGAGCGATATACTCAGAGTTCAGCTCCTCAAGCGCCACCGTCTGTGGGGTTTTTACACACATCCATGCTATATGATATATCCATGCATAAGCATCAAGCACTTACAATGGTTAAAGCTTGTTAGGTTGAGTCTGATGATGCAACTAGCTTTTCAGAAAGGAGAAACTGGTTCTGGCCACTTTGCGTCACACAAATGATCATTTTACATCATCTTTGTTCAGATTGAATCAAATAGTAGAGATAAAATTTATGACAGTGCCATATACAGGCATCTAAAGTTAATTTATTTCTATGGTATATAACAAAACCAAAGAGAAAAAGACATTGTGTCGTCGTTACCTTAGCTTTGAGCTGAGCTGTGAGGATGCTGTATTGCTCCTCTATCTGTGTCTTCAGTGACAGAGCATCAGTCTTCTCCCTGACCAGGCCTGTCAGTTTGCTCTGCAGCTCCTTCACCTATGGCAGACACAACTACTGTTTAGGTCAGATAAAAAAAATGTCTTTATTTGTCTCTGCACCTGGAGGAAACACTACTGAGCAACAATATAAAAAAACACCAAGGTTTTCCAAACGAAGTCTTATATGGCTAAATAAAAATGCAGACAAGTTACATACTGTAAATCATTTTCTGTGTACATCTAGTTAAATACCTGGATGGTGAGGCTCTCATTTTCCCTCCTGGTTTCTTCCATCTGACTGGCTACATCAGTCAGTCTCATCACCTTTTCAGCTGCATCTGCTGCCTTCCTCTCTGCCTCCTCTCTCCTGGCTTCTGACTGACTCAATTCACCGTACAACTTCTTTGTCTGAACAAGCACACAAACATAAACATGAACACACTGAGTTCGCTACATTTCCAATGATGTGCCATTCCCCTGTAAACATGGTACAATGGAGAGCAAATGAAGCACATTCTTACCTGCTGAATACACTAATTAACCCTGTGCTCATGTCTGAATTTGTAAACCTGTCACAATCAAAAATTCAAGGTTCTGTGTCATTTTACTCTTTCAAATTCTGATTAACAATTATACAGATAAAAATAGAGCATTAAGGTTTAAAAATTGTATGTATTGTTGTCATTCACTGGACGGACCAAAGTAAACCACATTTTTCTATCACAGCAAATGTGAAGGAAGAAAAAGAAAGTTGTGAAAAACTCACTTCTTCGTGGCTCTTGTCCAGTTCCTCTCGTGACTCCTTTAGTTGTGCTCCCAAAGCTTCAATCTCCCTCATCCGGTCACTTTGCTCCTGCTTTCCATCAAAACCATTTTGTGTAAGTTCACAGTAATCCAACATTATGATACATGATGATGAACAGTAGGGATGGGTACCGAATCCCGGTATTAAACGGGCCTTGGGGCTAAATTTTTAAATACCAGAGTATCGATAAGCTCTGATGTTATTGGTTCTGCTCTCGGTACTAAAGAAATTAAGAAAATGGATTTCCTATTTGTTCGTGCTACATAAAAGTTCTCTCTCACATTTCATCTCACCAACTCTGATTAAGACATTCATGTATGATGCATTTCCGCTGCTCCCAATCCAGAGGAGAGACCTCTCTTTCTCTCTGCCTCTGTTTGTGGGCAGATTTCCATCAATACAAAATCAGTCTATAATAGTGATTAGTTCAAAAACAATGCTGTTGGAGTTTGCTACTCAAGAATGTTACATATGAGAAAATAAAGCAATGTTAATTCTGTTCTTAATTTTTTTTTGTTTTTTCTATTACTAAACAACAAAAAAAGACCAGATCAATAAGTAGTATCGATAAAAGTAGTAGGACCGTTAAAATCTTAATGATACCCATCCCTAAACAACAGACACTGATCTAATACACAAACACATAAATCACACCTGTACAGAGATTCCTTTGTAGTTATTAGTCTGACATCTTTGTGCAGCAAAATCCCCTGTCCCAACAAGAGTCTCTGTCTTCTTTGTCGTACCAGCACTGTTTGGATTCAACAGTTGCTGCCTTTCCTCTGTTTGCGTTTGGCAGGGGAGAGCAGATTGGAGACTGCTTCTTTCCTCTCTTAGGCCCTGAATTATAAACATTATCTGCTTTTCCTCCTGTTTCAAGCAAGTGATTGAATTTTCAATTCCCTCTTTTTCTTCTCTCAGACTGCCAACTGACTTAATCAACTTGTCACGGTCATCTTGTAAAGTGTAAGATGATTGCTCCCGGTCTCTCTGTTCTTTCAGACTCTTAAAGGAAATGGTTACTTCTTCTCGCTCCTGTTTCAAAGTGAGCACTGCCCGGTGTAACTGTTCACTCTCTGTCTGTAAACTTTGCAGGGACTGCATGATTTGATCTCTCTCCTCTTTTCCGCTTGAGAGAGATTCTGTCAATGCCTCTTTTTCTCTTTCAAGACCAGATAAAGACTTTATTAGCTGCTCTTTCTCCTCTTTCAGGCCACTCATAGACCTAATAAAGTGATTTCTCTCATCTTTCAGCCCACAGACTGTCCGGGTAAGCTGCTCTCTCTCTTGTTTGAGACCAGCCAAACATTGAGAGATGCGGTCTTTCTCCTCCTTCAGTCCCCAAACTGTCCGAGTTAACTGCTGTTTCTCTTCTGTCTGTGTTTGGACTGACAGAGCTACTTCCCCTTGCTGCTGTCTGAGAGAATTTATGTTGCCTGTCAGTTCGTCTTGTTCTGTTTTGAGGCTCTGGACTGTCTTGATCAGGTGGTCCACTTGACCAGTCAGTGAACTAACATGCAAAGTGTTTTGTGGGCTGCTCTGCAATGGATCGTGGTAATTGTAATGTTCAGATGCATGTGATGAAGCTGGAGACAAATCATCTGGTTGTTGACTTGACATCAACTGTGGTTCTTCTTTCCCTTTTAGCACACTTTCCACTAAACTGTCCACACATGCTTCTTGGTTGCTCTGCTCTCCACTCTCTTCTAATTTTTGCTGCAGCTCCATGATGGTGTTGAGATCATCCTCAGTCTTCCTGGTGAGCTCTGTGATCAAACACCCTTGCTCCTGGTTCTCCTGCTCGAGCCTGGCTCTGTCCTCCTCTAACCTGGAGGTATGCTCCCTCAGCTGTGTTCGCTCCATCTTGATGTCCTCCTCTCTGAGCTCAATGTGAGCCAGCAGCTCCTGGATCCGGTCCGCCAGCGCCCGGTTCTCCTGATTCAGGCCCTGAACAAGATCATCCTGGGCGAGGGCGAGAATGGTGTTATCTCGGGTAGGAGAGGACTGGAGATGGTCAGCTCCACCACAGGTGGATGGTGTGCCAATCTGTTTGTCAGAGAGGTTGAATTTGATTAGTGATATACTGGGTGTACAGCAAAGCTTCTTCATCTTTGAAAAACAGTTGGGAATGCTATGACATACCTTTTCTCTTGAAGACCCCTGTGCTCCTTCTGGTTCCTCCGCCTGTTTCCTGAGTTGTAATTTCAGTTGAGTATTCTCCTGAGCCACCACCTCCAGCTGTTCCTGTGTGTGCTGCAGGGCGGCCTCCAGGTGGTCACGTTGTTCTTGAAGAGCCTCAAAATCTTGCCCTAACCCCAAGCTCCTATATGCTTCCCTCAGGGCATCAGATTCCTCACTGGGGCTCTCCTCCAGATTTAACAGCCCTCTGGAGCACCAGGTCCCCAGTTTAAACTCATCTATTGTCTCTGTAGTGAAGGAGGGTGACTGGAAGCTGAGGTTTTGTTTGGAGCCACTGTGAGCAAAGAGGTTCACAGGGCCTGAGTGATCCTCTGTGTTGTTATGTGCGCTCTCTGCTGTGCCCTGGTGGTGGAGACGCAGAACTGCAGATGAATCTGACTGGTCTATTCTCCCATTCAAGGTTGGCTGGACCTGCACAGAGATCACAATTTAACATCGTATGTGGACAAAAGTTGAGAATAGTTTTAAATACATATGAAAATAATGAAGTAAAAAAAAATAAAACAGATATTCAGATTCACTTGTATAAGCATTTACAAGGGGAGAGGTGGTTATGTAACGCACACAACAGACAGACACAAAAGAGCTTTCACTCTTCGGGAACATTCAGCCTTTTTATCCTGTAATTCTGTCTCATGAAATAACAAGGAAGGATTTACAACACTGAGCCAATAACACCAGATCAAACATTTATTGATCCTTTAGTTATTTTTACCAACCATATTTGGCCTGTCTACGGTGAAAAACTGGTAAAACTGACCACAGAAAACAAATGACTACATTTCCATTTTTTAATTTGCCAGTTTTCAAATGTGTATGGCACTAATAATCCTCTTGATTTATACAGATGCTTGATAAATGCTCCTTGTTGTGAGTATTTCACTAATAAAAACCACATGAGATCCATAAACAGAACTTCCAGTCCATATCAATACTACAAAGGAAATTAAAACTTGAAACTCTCATCACTTTTCACTGGATCTTTTTAGAGATGTCTGTGAGTGTCTCTGATGCTGTTTGTATGTGCTCGTATATGACAGGTTGTGCTCTGTTGTGTGTCTCATTTCTTCATCTGAACTCAGGTCTCACAAAAGAGATTTAGATCTCAGTGAGACTCTCTGATTAAATATAAGTTTTACAATAATAATCATGTCTTACACACCTCTGAGTTTCCCACTGAGGAATGTCCCATGGCGGTGATGTATGACTGAGTGTCGGAGGGCCCAGGACAAACAGCAAGGCTACAGCTGGGCGAGCTCGTCCCAGGACTCGGGCAGGCGGACTCAGGGACCTTGGATGGCTGACTTGGTGTTTGGTTTGCAGCTTCCCTGAGGATCTGTTGAAATCTGTGATTCTCGTCTCTCAGCTCTTCAACCTCCTCCATCAAGGAGCTTTCAGACAGCTTCAGCTGGTGCACCTCTGCCTTCATCTCCTCCACTTTGCTGCCCAGGAATTGGCTGTTCTCCTGGGCCTCTTGGAGCTGCTCCATCAGTCCCCTCCGCTCTGTCATCCCATCCTCCTCTCTCTCCAGCAGCACCCTGAGGTCCTCCTGTAGGCTCAGGATGAAGACTTGCAGCCTGGCTTCATTTGAGCTCTGTTTTGTTTCTTTGTTTCTTCCTCCTTCTATTTCTTTCTCTGTCTTTCCCTCATCCCCCTCTCGCCCTCCTTTTCTTTCCATTCCAACACTTGGCTGACATTGTTTCCTCCTCTCCTCCTTTTTCTCCTCTTCTCCTTCACCCTCTCCTCTCATAGAAGTTAGCCTCTCTTGCTCAACCCAGTGTGTTACGGTCCCAGCAGTAATTCTGACTGCACTGATTGTTGCCATTCCAGTGGCGGCACTCACAGTCATGTCAAGCAGCTGCTTTTCTAAAGCGTAGATTCGGTTCTGTAGGCTCTGCTCTCTGTCCCGGGCCAGGCTGAGCTTGTGTTGGAGTTGGGTTTTAAAGTTCTCAAAGTACTGGGACTGGCGACTCATCTCCTCCTCTTTGGCCTTCAGCTGCCTCTGACAGCGCTGCAGTCGCTCCCTCCATACCTGCTCCCCTCGCTCCTTCTCCTGAGTCTGAGTATGAGGGAGGATGGGAAGAGAGGAAGACAAAGACAACTCTGTCATATTTAAGAGAAAGATACCACAGTTACTGATGTCCTGGTGATTGTAACACTGTTATCCAAAGCTTGATTTACAATATGTTTTCATGCTAATGTCCTGTTAGAATATGTATAAGTGTGTGTTAGTGTTAGCACTGTAGTAGTACTGTAGTCTCTTTTGTTTTTTACTGCGCATGAGCAAACACATCAGTTTCAATAGAATTTTCTATATACCAAACAACTACTATGTAATTACTTAAAAGCAGATATAAAATGATAAAGTACAACTCAAAATAAGACTCAAACATGTAGGTTAATCAAAAATCTAGCATGTACCATTTGAACCTGATCACTTTGTGGTATTTTTTCCATTTCTTATGGCACTGATAAAATCCACATAATCAAAATGATATAAAACCGTATCAAATTGCATGCTTTTAGCAGTTTGTTTTATTTCTGTCAATATCATCTTTTCAGCGTTGTTCCCCTTACATGTTAAATTATTCTGGAGTATTTTCAACAGTGAGGTTCTGTTATTTCAAATGACTTAACTTTTCAACTTAATAACTTAATGAAGTTATGTGAGCGCTATAGTCCCTTTCCATTATTTCATCCACCCATGTACACTGCATTAATGTTTTTGTACATGTCTGCAGTAGGTATCACTTGTGTGAAGAGTGAAACAGTCCTGCAGCATATTGTGAATTTGTTTTATGGTCTATACATCAATGTCTACACATGACTTGAAAAAAAACCTGAGCACTCACCATGGTCCTGACCTCCTCCCTGAGCATGTGGAGTCTTTGGTCCAGCCTCTGGGAGTGTTGCATGCTGGGGAGGGTGGAGGCAGAGGCTTGATAGAGCTGTAGCAGCACGCTCCTCTCTGACCTCACTAACTCTCTGTTCCTACCAGCACAACACAACACAGGCGAGCTCACGTTACATCATCTCGTTAACGTCATACAAATTTGCACATTGACATTAATCCAGAAGGTTTAACTACTTCTTCTGCTAATTTGACATGAAAATACACATTTGAATCATTTTGATCCCCTTAAGAGAGAAAAGATGCAAGTAAAATCTCCTACAGCGAGTAATTCCAAGGGAGATGTTAGCAGCAGTGTGTTCGCATGCAAGTGTGCAATGCAGTCAGGTGCATGTGATATGTGATATCACCTTTGGCCAAAAGTGAGTATATAGTAGCAGGTGTGTGTGTGTGTGTGTGTGTGTGTGTGTGTGTGTATGTTACTGGATCCCCTCTCCCCCAGTCTCTCACCTGCTCCTCAGGTAGCTGTCAGACTGGATGGTGGAACCTGCTCTCTGCTCCAGGACCTTCACTCTGTTACACAGAACCCGCAGGTCCGGCTCAGTTCCAATAGAGTCTGTTGCCATGGTAACTGAACTGCTTCCGGTACCCATCCTCTCAGATGAGGCCATGTGATCCTCCATTGATTAGCATTTGCCCCCTCGGTGAGTTTTAT